GTCTATAGCTAGTGTCCATTCGTTGATACACAGCATGTTGGTAATCGTCGAGGAAAATTTGTGACCTTCTTTGTAGATTGTTGTTACATTAGCTGTCAACGAGTAGTAGGGAAGTGCAGCTTCTTCAAATAAAGATGGTGATGTAAAATATTGGGTCTGTAATTTCGTGAATGCAGGCGTTGTTAACCTGGCAAGTGATGTTGCCGGGACCTGAGACGCTTCGTCTTTTAGCTGTTTCTTTACAAGTTTGTTTCATTGCTGTTTCTGTGACAGCTATTGTTTGCGCTAATACACTTTTTCTGATTTTCCATTTGTGTCTAGTTGTTCAGTTTTCTTTTACGTGTTTTCTGTTTGTTCGAACTTAAAAAGATCAATTGTTGTCACAACTAACCCACGAGCAAACGTTCTATTTGTAGTGCCATGGCTTGCAGTTTAGAATACAAAGTCTTTCTGGTTCAGAGTTTTATCGGAATGGGGTTGAAGTTTATGGTGAATGGACTTATCCTTTGTAGGCCTGCATAGAGGAATTTCAAGCTATCGACTACATGCTATTTAAAAAAACCTTGGACCGAATGATTAAACTCTCCGCAGAAACTGGTAGCCTTCTTCGAAAAGTAGGGAGGGTGGCGCCCAAAACACGAACACCTGAAGTTATTACTCATGCTGCAGAAATAATGGAAGAAACACCAAAACCGTCAATTAGTCCTTACCGTATCACAGCAGTGCAAGAACTCTTGCCAGTGGACTTCCCCTGAAGATTAGAATTTTGAAATTAGGTTGTGAATATGAACAACAACAGAGAATTGGCGCAAAAAATAATTTGTAGTAATGAAGCACCATTTCATCTCAATAGATACATAAACTCACAAAATATGAGAATTTGGAGTCATGAAAACCGATATGAATTTATTGAAGAACCATTGCAGCCTAAAAAAATTGGTGTGTGGGCAGCAATTTCTGAAAGACGAATCATTAGATATCGAAATGAAATTTTAGAACCCTTTGTCAACCAGTTACACGATGATGAATTGCAGAACACATTCTTTCAACAAGATGAAGCTCCGATTCATTGTACAATGGACAACTTAAATTTCTTAACAAACTTACTTGATATCTGAATACTTATTAGTAGAGAGCGGAAAATATGCAACAAAATTTTGGGAAATATGATCATATGATATGCATCAAATTTATGCAAATATGCAGTGAATTTCTTAATATATGCAGAGATATGCAGTTGCATATGCTCCAAAAATTAAAAAGAGGGCGTAATAACCGAACTAAATTTATTTAGAAATTTCTCGTGCTTACCTTTTATTAAAAAAAAATAATACATAAATCATATTGTAAAGTGTTTAATTAGATCTCACTGGCACATATATCACATTTTTAAAGATACAATTTTTATACTAAAAATAAATATAGGTAAACAGAACGAATTAAAAAATTGCAGTAATTGACTATTTAATTACTATTTTGGCACCAATTTATTTTTAAATATTTTTGGAAATATTCTAACAAAAAGTTTTTCCGGTGATTCTAAAGTATGTATTTGGAAATAGAAAAACTACGTCCACAGATGTAAAAATACTTATTGGTTTAGAGCAGGCGCGACAAAATACAGTTCGTTCTTGAAGAATAAGATCAAGAAAAAGTTTAATCCATAAATTAATTTGAGTTATCTTCGACATATTGACACACCTGTATCGCTTTAAATGCTTTCAATGCACACTCAAGATGAAAAATAATAGCATAACGTCCCTTCGACTACCATACAACATACCATTAATACACTTAAGTAACGAACAAAAATATTGGGAACGAACGGTATTTCCAAAAGTAATTAGGGCCCGAATTTACCTGGAAGGGTGGCTTAACACCCAGTGGTTTCTCCAAACTACCATAAAACCCAGACCTTTCCTAGTTACGAGTATTTGAAACTCAGGACAATATTTGCAATATGATTAGTGAAATTTCGTCTTTCTAGATAAATGCCAATTGAATGACAATCATTTTTTTCTCAAATTAGCACAAAAATCGATAAAAATGCAAAATATGCACCCGTTACGTGAAATATGCAGCAGAAGGCAAATATATGCAAATATGCAATTTTTTTATAGCTGTATTCATTTTTAATTAGCATGATTCGTTCACATATTAAATATCAAGACTTATATGCAAAAAATAAAGGATATGCAAATTTCATAAAATCCGCTCTCTACTTATTAGAAATACAGAAATTCCTTGGACACCTACCTCGTTTCCGTGATTTGACAACTTGTGATTTTTTCTTTTGGCGTCATCTTAAAAACACATTTTTTTTCAAATCCTGTTTACCACTGTTAAATAATACGAAATCGTTATGTTTATTCAGATGATTTGCTGTCTCCATCATTCGTAAAATAGGATGATTCTTAGTTCTGTTGCTACTATACACAGAAATTCTGAACGTTACTGAACTACGCGTAATACAACTATTGGTTGCAGGAATTAAGAACGTTAACTTACTTAACAGAAAAGAATTGTCAATGTTACCATTATGAGACCATGGAGAAAGCAAACATCCGACATACAACGCCTATCCTTTAAAGAGTTTATATTGAGATAACTACAAATCCAAGTGTAATCACTCTAATGATGACTACGATTAAGTTTAAATTCAATCAAACGGAGAAACCTCTTTTGAACTTTTTCTGGTAGATCACGGTCAACTCTGTAATATGGATTCCATACCGGGGAACAGTATTCAAGATGAGAACGCACAAATGAAGTGTACAACAATTGTTGACCACTGAGGTAAATCACAACAATGACGCCATATGAAGCCTAACATTCTAATTGATTTTTTATAAATGTGATAATAATGTTGCTTGAATGTAAGGGATGAATAAAAAATAACACCTAAATCCTTGATTTCTTTCACACGAGCGATCGCAATCTTTCTAATAACTAGTAATTAAAAGTTACCCATGATTTAGTGTTGAGGAAAGAGATCACATAAGACTTTTTGAGATTTACAGGTACTAAACTGATAAAAGACCATGCATGTAATCTATTAAGGTCAACTTGCAATTCCATTGCGTCACTCATAGACTGAAAAGATTTAAATAGCTTCAAATCGTCAGCATATAATAAAAAATTCGAATTGTGAAATCAAGATGTTACATCATTAATAAATAACAAGAACAAAATAGCACCCCAATGTGAACCTTGTGGGACCTCCGATGTTACAGAAAAGAAAATAGATAAGTGATTCCCAATTCACATCTGTCGCTGACTATCACTTAAAAATGACGTTAACCACTTTATAGTATTTTCATTAAAACCGTATTTGGATAAAAATAAAAATTAGCAACTTGTGATTTACTTTATCGAACGCTTTAGCGAAATCGGTATATTCAGCATCAACTTGAAGTTTATTGGCAAAAGCATCATTAAGAAAGGAGTAGTATTACACTACAATTGTTTAGACACTATGAAGGCAAAAAACAGATATGTCACACACTCCTCTATAATTATCAGTTCTATTCCGTTCATCAGTTTTAAAAATAGGGATAATATAACTTTAGGAAATTTTCATTCATTTAGAGACGATTGAAATAACAAAATCAATGGAAGAGAAACTGTGAAGACACAGTTTAAAAAAAAAATGCTTGGAATCCCATCTGGACCATAATTGGAGGAGGATTTTATTTGGAAAATATGCTCAAACACCTCAACAAGAGACACATTTAAACCATAATCATTTACTTCCATATCCGCTACAAAATTAAGGTTGAAGTTCCTAGTATTCTTTTCATGTACAGAAGAAAAAACTAAGCGATTAAGTTGGAAATTTCATTTCCACCTTTTGCACCTTCTTCATTAAAAACCATTTCCTCTGGGATACCATTCGCATTTAATTTTATCCTTAATAAATTTCCGAAAGTATTGAGGGTTACTCGACAAACTATTGTTAACTCTAGTCAAACATGATTTATAGAGATCTGTATCAAGTTGTTTGCAGCGATCCCTACGACCTAAAATAAAGGTAATTGTGCCCGATTTACGAAAAACTGAATGAGCTGCTTTTTTCTTACGAATCAAATGTTTTCATTCTGTATTGAACCATCTAGAATATGAGGAACCATTCAGTTTAACTGTTTTTATTGGAAGAAATCTATTGATGGCATTGAAGAGAATACCATAAAAAACTGAAACTTCGATCGATCATAAAATTGAATTTCAGCGCAGACGTACTCCAAAATAAAATAAACATCAATGGCAACTTAATGAATTTAAAAAAAAATACTTCTTATGTTTTATTCCAATTCGATTCAATTTTTACAGTTGCATAGGATATGCAGATATTGCAAAGTCTTTTAACCACATCCTAATAAATCTCCTTACCTTTTAACCCTTTTAAAAATACGTAGGTACTTAATGATTAATCGATATTTAGTTTTATCAATTTTCACGATTTCAGAAGAAATAGTTTAATTTTATTTCACACCAATGCGTTTACTTTTGGTAGTCAATTTTTATAATGACATTTGTACTACGTTGATGTTTTTTACTATGGTAACTATTTGTCAAAACACTCGTAAGAAGTTACATACTCCGAAATATTCGACATCTCCTTTCAAAAAAATTGTATATTATGTATAAAATTTCAGAAATACATAGAAATCCACTGCTTTTACAAAGAAGTACAATTATTACTTAAACCTAAATACAGAATTCTAAATAAAATCTTAGTTTTAGTATTCAAGACGTTAAAACGCATAAAATGGAGTACGATGCTTTTATTACCTGAAATTAAAAGAAAATATTTCAAAAATATTTTCAGCCGTAAAAATCAAAAATCTTAAAATAACTTTTAGTGACTTTTAGTATAGCAGTTTTTAAATGAATTTTGCAAAAATTTTTTAATTTACAATTTATAAAACTGATATTTCTAACTCTTGTTCCATTACTGAAAGTTATTTTAATTGGTGCGTTCTTAATCCAGCATGTGTTATTTATTTTACCGAAACAAAAAGTGGTAACTGTAGAATTCCAAAGGGACCAGCTGTTAAACGACTGGTTTTTTGAGATCTTTGCAACATGAGAAGTACAGCTTTCTGGCAACTAGTGTCGCTGTTGTACCATTCAGAAGCCCACAAAGCGTCTGCGACAGATCCAGTCTGAAAATAATTATTTGCTATTAAGTAGAGACCAGATTAATATAAATTAAATAACTGCAATCTGCAAAGAAAATATGCGAACAAAATGCTAGATATGCACTTAAATATGCAAAATATGTGAACACAAACACTTTCTTTGCTTTTCTAGTAGATGGAGCGTCAAAACTGCTGATTATATATAAAAAAAAAATACAACAGCCTCGAAATTAGTAGTTTTCACAAAATACAAGAAAACACATCCGTCTAACACCACTAAAATTTGCAACTTTGATACAGTTCCCCACCGTCTAATAATAATTACATAGATCATATAGAGGTTTTAAATTTGATTGTTTTGACGCATAAACTTCTAACCCAAGGGGTATTTTAAAAAAACACCATTTTTGTATTTGAAATTAACTCATTGCTTTTGGATATACCTACCTACACTTCTTATTTATATTAAATCAACAATAGTAAAGACAAGTCAGATAGAAATTCGAATTCAGGAATCTATTTGTCAAATTGTGGAGATTGTCTCATGGTAAGTGTGTTAGACAAGCAGAGAAAAAATTCGACGACAGAATTTAAGAAAGCAAGAAATCATAAACCAATATTATTAGTGTTATTAGAAAGTTTAAAGATCAATTGTTTTAATATGTCACTAAATGATCAAACCACAAATTAGCAAATCTCTTTTCCTAAATTTAAACTTGTATAGTTCCCACTTTCAATAACTGTTTATTTCAGCTATAAGTGTAAATGCAGTATCCAAACCCAGTACTGGACACCAAAATCCGTGTAGCAGTGTTTTAAAATAAATTATTTTATTTTTTTTTTCTTAAAATTAATTATGGAATTTCAACAAGAACAGTTAGTTCTAAGAAATATAGATGTAAAGGACTGGTTTGAATATTTTTTCTGAAGTAGGACATACCAAATCAAAAATCCATTTCTCAGTAAAGAACTTTCGAAACAACGTGAAAATCCCCTAAACTATCCATTTAACAACAAAATAAAAATTATGAGGGATTTGGTTAAGTTTCATGAAAGGGAAATTAATATTTCAAACGACTTCGCAGAAAAATATGCACAATCGTAGGAATCTGATGTTTAATTTTAAACATATACTCCTAGTTTATAAAATCAATAAAATACCACAGTTTAAATTTTTGCAATCAACCCTGTAAACTAGAGATTATCAGGTTAATAGTTTTTCTGAGAGATGCAGTTATTATGTTAAAATAATAAAAATAGTGCTTAAAGTAAGTAACATAACATACTGTTCAAGGATTAAAAACATTTCAACATAATTTAGTTGTGTTTTGGCAGTAACAGAAGTCTGTTCAGTCAATATAGTTATGTTAAGACTTCTTATCTAAAATGATACAATTAACAACTCACAGCATCCATAATGCGTTGTCCTCCTAAACACACAAAGTATAAAGCTGTAATCCACATCGCCATGTGAGAACACCCCATCAACACCTGACGACCCTATTAATTTTTTTTAAGTTAGATACATCAGTGTAAATCGGATTACTTATATTACTTCTGCAATTGTCATTTCTATAAAAGCACAAACTGAACTAGTCAACAAGAAATGTACCAACATGATGGTGGAAAAGGTGTGATCTATATTGGACACTAAACTAAAAACCAAATAATGTTAAAAATGACGCCTTCATATAAGTACTTACTTCAGTATCTCGATGTGGTAGGAAATACATTTCTTTAAATTCTCGGAAACTACGCTGCAATTTTGAGAATCGAAAGTTTGTATTATCATAGACTTCAGATGTTCGATTCTTTGAACTGTGTGCAGAGCTATTTCTAACACATGGTAGGCGATTTGAGAACACATTTTACTAATTAAGAAACTGTAGACGAAGTCATAAATAATAAATAACTCATAAATTGGAAAGAACTCAATTCGAATAGGAATAAACCTGGGAATCCCTAGTCCGCAGTGATATCCTTTAAAATTCTCTTCAATTTGAATTCTTTTGCATACAGCTTTTCTATTTATTGTTATGTATTTATAAGCAGTCATGCTTAAAATTTCATATGCTGTAAGTACTTTTGCGAAAATGTTCAACATTTTTTCAAGTCTGTCGAAACCATGTGGTTTACCAAACTTTGTGAAATCTGACAGATTCTCTAGGATAAGTGCGATGTTGTGCTGTTTTCGCAGAAACAAGAACAACATGTAAAATACAGTATCTGAAGCTACAATTGCAGAAATATTTGCATTTAAACTATCGTGAGCTAAAAAATAATTTGCTTATGACAATTCAGTGTGTTTTTCATACTTGCCTTTTATCATAAAAAATAAAACAACTCCAGATGGTATTACTGTAAAGATAATTAAGATGCAGCATAACGCAATTTTAAGTTTGTATTCAATTCCTGGATTTAGTTCCGTTCCTTCAGCCGGCCAAACCAAACTCCATTCAAATATCTTGCGGTTCACAAGACATACTAATATTTTTCTTCCAGGATTCTGTGGAGGATGTGGCATTTTTTCCTACTTGCAAATATAGTAGTGTAAATGTACTTTTGTATATAATTCGTTACGTTATTTCATCACTTTACTTCTTGAACACACGTAGCAGAATGACTACAAACTCACAACAAATTCTTTTTAAATAGCTTCCACATGGTGGACACGATAGTCACAGTTGTCGATTTTTTAAATTATCAAGTTTTATCCTGTACACTCCCCACAATTGCACACAACACGTACATAAATATTCTAAGACAAAATTGAAAATTATTTATATATTATCATCCAGAGATGATTACAACTTGAAACAGTCACGCATAACTTAAATATATTTGTTCCGTTCGTAGAAAATAAAATGAAGAAAATTAGAAAATTACTGCACTGTACTGACAAAAAAATCAAAATCGATTCATTCCATTCGTATACGATTATTACGTAAATGTCTAGGTACGTACAGCTTCTACGTAACTTTTATCTTAAGCTATAATTTAAAAGTAAAGCTTTTACTGCTTATTTTGTTAGCTGTTTTACTGTTCGTTAGAGTGACCAGATATAGTCATGGAAATTGTACTCCAAACTATCTGTCAAGTATAAGTTTCCGAATCTAGAGCTATGAAAACTACTCGCTGCTGTTTTTTCTTATTAAATGGACGTTTAATACAACTGTATTTAATATGAAATTAAGGTAATTGACCAATAAATGCTTTGTTGCAAGTGAAGAAAATATAATAACAAAAGGTCGATGGAACGGTAATATTTTTTAATTTATTTTTTGAAATCGTGTTATTGACACATACAATACCTGTATTCTAGGTGATAATAATAGATGAACTGGTGAAAATGAGTAAAGACGATTTTGGTGGAGGAAAGGTTGTAATTGTAACGTAAGAAAAACTTCAAAATGGTTTATTTCTGCAAGGAAACGAGGAGTTTGCAATTACGCTCCATCCCATGGCTCCCGATACAGTAATGCTGGTGAAGTTAAATTATCTGGAATATCATTTACAAAAAGATTGAAGAATAGAGGCCCAAGAACAGATCCTTGTGGTACGCCGGACGTAACGTTAATTTCTACTGACTCACAACCACTACACATAACACGTTGTTTTCTTCCAGTTAGATATGTAGCAAAGAATATTATTAGGTCGTCAGAAAAACCAAGAGAGCTTAATTTGTCAAGTAGTTTGTAGAGGTCCAGTCTGTCGAACGCCTTCTAGAAATCTATGTAAATAGTATGTATTTGGGTTCCTGCGTCAATATTTTCTGTCACGAATTGTGTGAACACACATAAGTTAGTTTCAACAGAACGACCCTTGACAAAACCATGCTGAAGTGGAGAAATATAGGAATTAACATAATTCATGATGACTGTGTGCAACAACATCTCAAAAACTTTAGAAACATTATTAAGCAAAGTAATTGGTCGGTAGTTCTCAATGTACTTTCTGTTGCCTTTCTTAAAAATTGGACTTATAATGGAGTCTTTCCAGACAGTAGGGTATTTACGAACAATAAGTGATGAATAGAAAATTAGAGAAAGAAGACACGTAAAAATTTTTTTTAACTTTATTTTTAATTTTACGTAATGCTTTATAAACTTCCTCTTCGTTAAAGTAATTTATGTTAAGAATATTATTTGTAATAATTTTTGACTGTGTTCTTATATTATTAAAATCAGATTCAATATAACTATGATTCCTGAAAAAGATATGCAAACTGGTTCACAATAGGTTTAGGGCCCAATAGCTCTGTATTTTGATATGTCATAATTTTTGGAAAATAATTCACTTGTCTTATACTCTGTATAGACGACCAGAAATGAGTTGGGTCAGTTTTTATGTTATTTTACATTGTTATGTATATCGTGTCTATGAGATTTACAAATTTCATTTTTTATTTGAAATCTTAAGGTTTTGAATTCATTCTGCATTTTGCTCTCTGTGATGTTTATACTTTTTCCACAACTTAAACTTTTTTTTATGTTACTAATATAATAGGATGATTATACCATGGAGGAAATTTCTTTTGTTTAGATCGATTAGTTAAAGTTACTGAAACTTTGAAAAAACTATTCAGTTTGATGTAGAATTGCTCACATGCAAAGTCAACATCCTGGCAGTTTTCCAAAAAAGACCAGTTAATTTTTAATAAATCGTTATATAGAATCCGAAAGTCTGTCTTGCGGAAATTATATGTTTTGAATTCAGATTTTTTTATATATTTTTGTTTATTATTAGAAGACTTTTGTTTAATAGGAATTGTGATTTCTAAGCTGGGATGGTGCGAATCTTCTATAAGTAATATGTGTCCTATCCACGTCACTGTGTATCTGGTCTGACAGGACTAAATCCAGTAATCTATCATTAAAATTTAGTATTCTATTGTATTGAACAAAGTTTGAAACTTGCATAAAATTTACTAGGGCATTCGTTCTTGTGTCGGTAACTTGGGAATTATTCAGATAATTTTAATAAGACTTGACTTACTTCTTTCAATCAATGGCACAGAATGACTCGGATTAAGAACCAAAAAGGGACTGATAAGACTCGTGCAAAAACACGAAGATGGCCAGTCATGATCCGTTGCTTGCATCAAAGGGGATTGTTTTATAGTTCATGGTGAATTTTTCCAAATCAGAGTGTGCCGATATGGTATTCCTTTATGGTGTCCGCGAACATTTGCATCAGTGCTACAGCATCTCCGAGATCATGGTACCTTCAACCTCAAACTCACGATCGCGGCCGTGATAGAACAGAAAGAATACTGCAAGCTGAAGAACAAATTTTGGAACGCAACGAAAAAGAGCCCGACATCAACACTCGCCGACTTGCAGCTGAAATTGGAGTTGCACAGCCTGTAGTGCATCATACATTAAAACAACAAGGCCACATCCATACCATGTTCAAAAAGTGCAAGGTTTGGAGCCCGCTTATTGTCCACGTCGTGTAATTTATTGCAAATGGTTGTTACCGCAGTGTCGTGAACGCCCTGACGTTTTAAAGTGCATTTTATTATTATATTATTATTATTAGAAGTTAACAAAAAATTGGGCAAGACAAATTAATTTCTATGAGCCCAACGTTATAATAGTCTATTATCGGGTGATATGTATAAAATAGGTAGACAGATTTTTGTTCAACATTGAAAAAGAATTGTGTCAATTTCTTTCTTAAAAGATGACAGAGTCAGTGCAGTGACAGCAGAAGAAGGTAAACCGTTCCATGAGTCGAAGGATCGATTTGCAAAAAAGTTTTGGCGGCATTTTATCTTAACACTTTGCTTAGCTAGTTTAAACGCATGACCTCTTAGCCTTACGTCGCGGTTCAAAGGTAACATATAAGAAAGATCGCAATTAAAATTTGCGTGAAGTATACGATACATATATATTAAGTCACCTCTATTTCGACGATCTGCAAGACTTAGGATACCTAGGTTAGAGAGTCGTTCTTCGTAAGATGGACGGTGATAGCCATAAGGAATTCTCGTTGCTAATCTCTGAACGGATTCAACAAGGTTGAGATCTTTGATCCAATGTACACTCCAGACTATGCATCCATATTCAAGAAGTGGACGACAATATTGACAGTAAAGGCGAACAAATGCGGATGGGGATAGTGTTTTAAAGGCCTTTGAGATTAGAAATAGCATTGATCTTGCTTTCTTACATATTGAAGTTATATGTAGTGACCACGACATATCATGAGAGATAGTAACACCTAAATCACAATAAGAATCGGAACTGGTTAAATTTACAGAATTAATGGTATAATTCAATTTAGGACTATTCTTTCCAAATGTAGGACCAAGCACTTAGTCTCATTTAGTGGCAACTGCCAACTAGCGCACCAGAGGGAGATTTGATCGAGATCATTTTGTAACCGTGCATAATCGGAAAGTGGATTACCATATAATTTACTATCGTCCGCAAAAGAAGAAATTTTGCATTTAACGTGCAGAGGAAGGTCGGCAACAAATTAGAAATAGTAAGGACGGAACCTTGTGGGACCCCACTAGAAACCGCAGTAAAATCTGAGAAATGATCCCCAACACGTACACAAAAACGATCAGAAAGGTATGCTTTAATCCAGGATAAAAGTTGGCCACGGAAGCCAGTATGATCAAGCTTAAGCAGCAAAGCAGCATGTGGGACTTTATCAAATGCTTTCGAGAAATCTAAATATATGACATCAATCGGATGATTATTGTTGAGAGCAAGGGTCCAATCATTAATGCAGGTTAAAAGATTAGTAACGACTGATCTGCCTGGCATAAATCCATGTTGCGTTTTAGGTATTATATTATGTTGAGCGCAAAATCTATACATGTTAGTAACAATTATGCGTTCCATAATTTTAATA